TACAACACCTCTACAAAAAATGGACAAATAACCCAATTTAAAAAAAACGGACACAGGACATGAACAGACACTTCACCAAGGAGGAAATCCGGGCAGCCAACAAACATATGAAGAAATGTTCATGATCACTAGCCATTGGTGGTGGTGGCTGTGTGCCGTGAAGTCGGTTCTGACCCATAGCGAACCCTGTACAAGGTGTCCGAGGCTGTGAATCTTAACGGGAGCAGAATGCCTCATCTTTCTCTCGCAGAACAGCTATTAGAGAGATGCAAATCGGTCAGTCACAAAAGGAGAAATATGGCATAGAGCCACTATTGTAAAAGATAAAGAAAAAGCACCCACACTAAAAGGGGGGGAAAGAAAAGAAAAAGAATATACAATGCTCTTAAATAGGAATACTTAATATTGTGGGAATGTCAATACTGCCCAAAGCAATCTAAACATAATAGCAATCCCAGTCCAGATTCCAAAGACATTCTCCAAAGAGATGGAAAAACAATTATAAACTTTATGTAGAAAAGAAACGCAGGAAAAGCAAAGCACTGCTTAAGAAGAAGAACAAAGTTGTAAGCCTCTCATTCCCTGATTTCAAAATTTACTACACGGCTACAATGGTCAAAACAGGCTGGTACTGGTACAGTGAAAAATACTTTGATCAATGGAACAGAATTGAGAATCTAGAAGTTAACCCATCTACATACAGCCAACTGATCTTCATCAAAGGGCCTAAGTATATTGCATGGGGAGGAGACAATCTCTTTAACAGATAGTGCTGGCAGAACTGGAAATCTATATACAAAAAATTGAAACAAGATCATTACCTCATGCCATATACAAAAAACCTACTCAGCATGGATTAAAGACCTAAATGTGAATCCCAGAATTATAAAGGTAATCAATGAAAAAATAGGGACAACTGTGAGGGCTCTGGTAGTGTTGTTGTCGTCAGGTGCCATTGAGTCGGAACCGACTCATAGCGACCCCATGCACACCAGAACGAAACAATGATGCTATCAATGATATCACCTGGCTGATCCATCTCGTTGGGGGTCTTCCTCTTTTTCTCTGACCCTCCATCTTATCCAGCATGACATCCTTCTCCAGCAACTATTCCCTCCTGACAATATGTCCAAAGTATGAGAGACAAAGCTTAGCCATTTTGGCCTCCAAGGGGCACTCTGGCTGCATCTCCTCCAAAACAGATCTGTTGGTTCTTTTGGCAATCCATGGCACTTTTAGTATTCTCCTCCAACACCACAATTCAAAGGCATCAATTCTTCTACGATCTTCCTTATTCACTATCCGGCTTTCGCATCCATATGAGGTTATTGAAAATACCATGGCTTGGGTCAGGCGCACCTTAGTCCTCAAGCTGACATCTTTGCTCTTCAAAGCGTAGTGGTTACTAATCGGGCTGTGAACCGCAAGGTCAGCAGTTCGAAACTACCAGCTGTTACATGGAAGAAAGATGAGGCTTTCTGCTCCTGTAAAGATTTATAGCCTTGGAAACCCTGTACAGGGTCACTCTGGGGCAGAACTGACTCCACGGCACACAGCCACCACCAATATAGGCACACATAGACTACCAAACATTGTGAAAATTGCACAAGCAAAAGAAAACAGATGATTGGGTCATACTAAAAATTAAAAATTTATGTGCATCAAAAGACTTCGCCAAAAGTGTAAGTAACTCTGGTAAATGGTCTGTTGTGACGGTTAACATTGTACAGATTCCACCTTTCTTTTTTACAACCGTTTTTATTTTTTTAAAAAGCCATTTTATATAAGTTCTCGTAAAATAAGTAAATAAGATAACAGCTGTTATCATCTTCAGGAGGGGTTTGCAAAGTTGATTATTCCCAGAAACTGCTCACTGTGGTCATGTCATTTTGAAAGCATGGGAAGATGTAGTGATAAATGACTGCCATCCTAATTTGTGTGGCCTAAATGGACCTGGTTTGAAATTTCAAGAAATATTTGCCGTTTTTCTCCCTTCTGGACCCTTCTCTATAAAGGGTAAAATATTAATATTTAGAATGTCAAAGAGGAATTATTGTAATACATCTAATGCTGTATGCTTTTAAGAAAACAAAACCCACAGAATACCCTTTTGAAAGCATAGAGGGGCGATTTCTCTGGTTTTATTCACTTCATGCTCTCTGTGTTATGTTGATGGAGATGGTGGTTTTATTTTTTTAGTTGCTATTTTATTTTCTCCTTTATTTCAGAGATGCTTTTAATATATTAATATCCATTGTGCCATGTCCTGCTGTTTCCGGAGTACTTGTTCGTTACTTTTTGTGTATCAGGAGTGTGACTCACTGTTTAGTATGTTTGGTTTGCAGTAAACAGATATCCAAAGATTTCCTTTTGAAAACTGTCCTCCCCACTAATTTTTACATTTCCTATTCTTAAGCTAAATATTAAGTGTTTTTTTTTTTGTTTTGTTTTTTTTTTTGATAAAACTGGTGCTCACATGCTTTGGGGGACAAAAGTAAAATGAATTTGTCATTACCCCAGAAAATTTGTTTTAAACTCACAGATTAAATGTGCCTTAGTTTTTTCCCCCGTTTAGATTTCAAACAATGGTAGGATTGCCATTTTAATATATTGGAGATCTGCTTAATTGTAAATAGCCTATTACTAATTTGGAAAAATAAACCAGTGAACAATAATAAAAAAAAGAATAAGTATGTAAAATTAAACACTAGACCAGTGTTGGACATCTAACAGTTGCACAGTAAAAGAATCATGCAGTTAAGTGTCATTGAGTTGGTTTCTACTCATGGTGGTTTGAAGTCAATCCAATGCTATCCCATAGCACCACACCTGGACTCATCATAGTTGTTATTTTTAAAATCCTACATCTTGTTCTCTTGACTGGCTCATTCTATTTTAACTACTTTGTACACTTTCTCTCTCTAATAAAACACTTCACCTAAAATTGTTTGCCCCTTCAGTTTGGGTTCTTTCCTCCTCTCTTTGCTGTCATCACTCTGCAGTGTGGTGTCTCCCTCTACCTTGCTAAATGACCATGTACTGTGTAACTTTTTCTTCATCTCCATTGTCTACCATTCCATTTTGGAAGCTCCTTATTTAAGATCCTTATTTTGTGACAAGCAGGCTCCACACTTCCTTGTTTTATTTGTGTATATCTTTTCTTTCCACTTTTTTGGCTTCAAGTCCTCTTGTCAGCCTCCAAATGTTGGTGCTCCCCAAAGTTCTATATCTGATCCACTTCTTATTTCCCCCTCTCTCAGTATTCCCAGCTCCTAGGGCTGTAGTGTCCATTCTATGCAGACTCATATGTATCTTTCTAACTTGCCTCTTGTTTCGAGCTTAAGGTTTACGTCTTGAGAGGTCAACCTAGGGGGTACTGTGGGCATCTCAGACTCAGCATATCCCAAACAACACTTAGCTTTTCTTCCCCAGCTAGCTTCTCCAGATTTCCTTTTAGCTGTTGTTGATAACATTCTCCCAGTCTCATCCCTCTGTTATTATCCACATTGCTTTTCAGTTTTACCCTTATAAATAAAGTATCTTCTTCCAGTTTTTGTGTGTGTTTGAATACAGAAGAAAATTCACTCGTTTTAAATATCTTTCATCTCTAGATGATGAGATTTTATATTGTTAGAATTTTGTTTATTTTAAAACAAATTTCTGTTTTTACATGCTTGAACCCCAAACTGCAGTCTTACTACTCAACCTTTCCTTACCCTGAGCTTCATCCAGTGGGACTTCGACTTGTTCCCTCAGTGCACTCAGACTTTCTTGACCTTTACTCAGTGTCTAGTTTATTGTTTCTTTCTTTGTCATTTTTTAGGGGTCCTTTCAAGTAAGCTTCCCCTAACTGAGCCTGGGGCCTCCTTCCATGAGCCCTTGAGTTTTTGCATCACTTTCTATAATCTGCCTTCTGGTCTTTTTATGTATGTGTGTATGTGAATCCCTTTTTTTTTAAATTGTAAACTCCATGAGGGCAGAGATTGTATTTTACTCATCCTGCCTGCTCTTTGGTTACAATCTCCCCATTTTTCTTTGGAGGATAACACTTTTCCCACTGGCTATAGATTTAGTGGGGCGGTCATTCAAGGTATATTGCCAGTAGAATGCACTTCCCCTGGATTTGAATTCTGAGTTATGAGATACAAAGGCTGATATGGATTAACACTGATTCATCCTGGCTGAAGTGCTATGAAGAAGCTACTCTAGTTCCTGCCTACCAGCTCCATGGAGCTGTTCTGATCCTGAGACCTGGTTCTTCAGCTTTCCCTATGTGTGTGTGTGTGTGTGTGTGTGTGTGTGTGTGTGTGTGTATACTTGACTATATATTTATAGTTGTTAAGTGCCGTCAAGTTGGTTCCAACCACAGCAACCCTGTTATAGGTTTTCTGAGGAGTGGCTGATGAGCTTGAACTACCGACCTTGCACGGTCCAGCTCATTCTGCAGCACCACACCAGGACTGTATATGTTGTTATGTGCCATGGAGTTGGTTCCGACTCATAGTGACCCTGTACAGGGTTTCCAAGGCTGTAAATCTTTACGGGAGCACAAAGCCTCCTCTTTCTCCCACAGAACAGCTGGTAGTTTCGAACTGTTGACCCTGAGGTTAACAGCCCGATTCGTAACCACTACACTACCAGAGCTCCTATATATATACACACATTTACATATACTTTTTTTTTAGTTAGCCAAAGACAGTTTCTGTTGCTTGTACCTAGAGATCCTTACCAGTAGAATTCTGGTCAGTTCCACAATTCTACTGGTAAGGATCTTTAGGTACAACAACAGAAACTGTCTTTGGCTAACTTAAAAAGTATATATATATACTTTAAAAAATTTTTTTTAAGTTAGCCAAAGACAGTTTCTGGTGCTTATACCTGAAGATCCTTACCAGTAGAATTGTGGAACTGACCAGACATTATTCCGTTTCTTGATCGTAATTTTTTGTTGTTGTTGTTTGCCTTTTTCTTCTCTTTTAAAAAATGAAAACAATATACAGCCAGAGACAGCTGCTGCTTTGAAACGTACGCTAGAAGCCCTGATGGACAGAGGAGCAATAGTGAGGAACTTGGAAAACCTGGGCGAGCGAGCGCTTCCTTATAGGATCTCTGCCCACAGTCAAAAGCACACAAGAGGAGGGTAAGTTGCTTTGTGAATCACTTAAAAAATGTCTTTGCTCCTTTCAGTAAAGAGTACTGTTGAATTTGTATTAGGAATGATTATAATTTTACAGTCAGGTCCCATTGTGCTAGGAAATGTTTTATAAGGAGGTGTTCAGGTGTGTTCCCTAGCAGTGTTGTATTGCAAATGGGATGCTGTTATTCCGGTCTTAAAATCAGTTCTCATCGAGTTGACGCTGATTCATGACAACACCATGTGTGTCAGGGTAGAACTGTACTCCATAGTGTTTACAATGGCTGATTTTTTTTTTTTTTTTAAAGTAGATCACCGGGCCTTTCTTCAGAGACACCCGCTGGGTGGACCTTTTCATTAGCAGCCAGGCACATTAACTGCTTGTATCACCAGGGACTCAGTTCCAGTCTTAATAACCTATAATCAGAGTACACAAATAGGCTGTGGAGTATTAACAGGTTTGTAAGCCCTTGATTGTAGAAAACTCTTCCTGTCAACTTAAGTACTGTTTTCCTCTTGCATTTCTTTTCACTTTTGTCTTTAGGTACCCATCAATGCATATGTTCTCCACATACTCAGTGCATCCTTTATAAGTATGTAGGTTGTAGAAAACAAGCAAAATGTACTTGGCACTAATATACATAATCAGAACTTTCCCACAAGAGAAAAATGATTTTGCCTCTTGCAACTGATAACCATAATTTTCTATAATGGAATTTTTTCTCCCACAGCATATACTTAATGCTTGAAACGTATGTCAAGAATTTGATTCTATAGCAATAACTTTGTAGCAATTCTTTAGGACCAATTTGTTGAATCTGCTTAAAATTACTGTAACCCCTAATGGTGTCATTTTTACACCCATGGTTTCTGGTGTGGGGGACAAATCTTATGTTGTTGAGTTCTCTAGAAGCAGGTTATAGAGAAGATGGAACTGTCTTTGAAATGTGTGAAATGTCCAGGACATCTAGTACTCAACAGCTCTGTTTGGCCTTGAGCAAGTCATTTAACTTCTCAGCTGATTTGTTGGTCAAGGCTGGAACTAAGGTTGCATTCTCCCAGCCATGTTGTCGCAGGGATCGCATGAAATAATCCTTACAGATGTTCCCCCTACACAGCACTGGAAGCTGTCTGAGTGCTGCTGTTAGCTTAAGTACGCGCATTGTGCATCTAGCGATCTTGTGTGAGTGTGGTACGTGTTGTGGAGTCATGCCTCAGACTGAGGCTTCTTTACTGCATTTAAACCTGCCAAGATGCAGCACATAATGTAAACCTCATCTTTTGATTGCTTTATCTTGTTTTGTGCTAGTATTCAGCTTCTCAAGAACACCTCTGAAGAGAGTGCCTGAAGGCGTTGCTAAGCAACATGAAATGCACAGTGACTAGTCTTCTTTCACAATAAAAATAACAATGAGGGATGGATATTGTATTTTTATGTCTTTTTAAAAATTCTGTATTTTTAAAAAAAATTTAACCACAAATGGGCTTGATTTTAAAGGCAAGTGATGACTCTCTTGCCTTTTTGGTTAAAGAGGAACAAATAAATCTGTCCAGGAACCCAGGTTCTCTGGTAGCTGGCACTGACTAGGGAGAGCAGTCCTTTTCTCCTCGTATGGCACTGTTCGTGTCGTGCTTGCATGATTGTTAAACAGGACTGTTTCCTTCTGCTCTCTTCCAAGTAGAGGATTTGACTTTGTGGAGCGTTGTGACCAACATCCTAAAATGTCTATTTCCGACAAGTGTCTGAAGTTCCTATGTAGTTAATTGCTCAGCTGCTAACCAAAAGGTCCACCCGAAGGCACCTCAGAAGAAAAACCTGGCAGTCTAATTTTGAAAAATAAGCTACTGAAAACGCTGTTGAGCACAGTTCTACTCTGACACACACGAGTTCACCATGAATCAGAGTCTACTTGACAGTAACTGTTAACAAGTGTCCAGGTGATGTTGATGCCTCTGGTTTGCATACCTCATTTGAGGTCCACTGTACAAGCAGTCCCTGTGTTACCAGCATCAGACCTAGGACAACTTCTGCTAGCCCTTGCAGGACTTCAAACTGGTTCTGTCATGGCTGACAAAGCAATGCAGGAATAATAGACCTGAATTTTCACAGTTAGGGAGATTAGCCAGGGTAACCAGAACTAGAGTGGAGATTCAGAAGGAATGTATAGAGAGCCTTCTTAGGAGCCTGATGCATGAGATTGTATTATCAGCAGGACTGTGGAGAGTGACGTTCAAATTGGCATCAGTCTTCTTTGGGTGGGGCAGCACTGTTTTGAAGTGCTTGAGCTCTTCTGGTAGCGTAGTGGTTACGAGTTGGGCTGCTAACCTCAAGGTAAGTAGTTCGAAACTGCCAGCGGTTCTGTGGGAGAAAGATGAGGCTTTCTGCTCTTGTAAAGATTTATAGCCTCGGAAACCCTATGTAGGGTCGCTTTGGGTCGGAACCGACTCAATGGCACTTAACAATTTAACAACAACAAGTTTACCCTCACAATGATTGAGCCAACCCCTACTCACAACAAGTTCTTCATCACAATCACTTTCATTTGCTGTACATGCAGTTTTTAAATAATTGAAAGGGCTTTGAGCCTTTTCTTGCACTAAAGTAAGGTCAAATAAAAACCGTATACGCCTGTTCTGACTTACTTACAAATTCTCAAAGATACAGCTAGGAATGGGTCTCATTCATAACCCCAGGGAGTGCCTGTACTGGCTCATTTAGTTTCCAGGACTCTGGGTAAGGGGTGGCGAGACTGAGGATGGTGCGGTTTTCCTTTTATGTAAAGTAAATCCGGGTTCTGAAAGAATCTGCTTAGTAGTAAGCCAGAACTGCTGGCAATACTAGCCATATATCCTGATTTCCTGACATATTGCACCTGTCTAACCAAAGGATACCATGGCAGTCACTTAGTTCATTTATTTTTAACAATTCTGTTTCTGTTCCTAAATGTAGTTAATTTCAGGCTTCTGAAAAGCAGAAGCAGCATTCTTAAAATGTATTACATATGCATATTAAAAAGATGGGGAAGGTTCATGTTTTGAATCTATTTTCCTGGGATAAATCAATGGTTGGAATTAATCTGTTTAAGGCAGTGTTGTCCAAAGTGCAGTCTCTGAAACACTAATTCTATGGAGATGTTCCACGATAAAGGGGGGCGGGGGGGACCTGTGATCTGACAGAGCTTACAACATACAGTGACTTATAAATGACTAGAAGTCCTGCATATGTCAAGCAAGACACCTTCATTTCTTTACCTTATTTGACGGTGTTAACTTTGATTTTTGTAGCCGCACCCATTAGCATAGTGGTTACGAATCTCGCTACAAACTGCAAGGTCAGCAGTTCAAAACTACCAGCTGTTCCCCGGGAGAAAGATGAGGCTTTCTGCTTCCATAAAGATTTACAGCCTTGGAAACCCTGTACAGGGTCGCTATGCATTGGAACTGACTCCAGGGCACATAACCACCACCACCACCCATTAATACTCTCCACAGTGACTTTTGGTAAATGAGGACCTTAAGGGGCTAGTGTATTTTAGAGTTACCTGGAGAAAGATTTGGAATTTAATATGTCCAAATCTTGTTGTATGGAACTTGTTGTTAAGTGCTCTCGAGCCGATTCCTACCCATAGCAACCCTGTATAGGGTTTCCGAGGAGAAGCTAGTGAGCTTCAACCACCGACCTTGCAGTTCAAACGGCTTTGCAGTCTGGGGCATTAACCCACAGCGCCACACCAGGACTCCTATATGGAACTTAGTTGTATCTAATATTCTCTTGACTTAAGCCATATACTTCTTCCCCCCACTTCTCTACCTCCCCTGGTCCCTGGTCACTGAACCCCGTCCCCCCCCCCCCAACCACATTTGTACCAGATGTTTTGTTCATTGGGTAAATTCTTTGTGTGCATTACAGAAGCCACAGGAAGGTGTGTTCTTGTTAAGTGCCGTTGAGTCAGTTCTAACCCATAGCGACCCTCAATAGCTTCCAAGGAGCGGCTGGTGAACTTTAACTGTCTACCTTGTGGTTCAAACCCACTTTGCAGTCCAGCACAGTACCCCATAGTGCCACAAACAGAAAGGTATAGCATTTACTAAACTGATTATGTGGCAGGCACTGTACTAGGTTAAGAAGAAACAGTGAGCTTGTCAGTTACAGATTTAGCATTCTAAAGTTTGGCCTTTTTGTACAGCCCTGGAGGCCATGACATGTGTCTGCAGTTTTGTTGAGGTGCTGCTTCCAGAGTACAACCTGTCCTCTGGGAAGACCTCACAGACAGCCCTCTTTGACTGGTTAATGAGTGAGCCTAGGTGATACCCAAGAATCTACATTGTATTGTGGCTCTATCAGTATACTGTGTTTATTGCTTTTACATTTTACTGGGGATAAATGTATGTCCTAGTGCTACTCATAGGCCTCAGCATGATTCTTGTGGTTGTTGTGGTACCTGGTCTTAAGGGGTTTTCCATCTAGTCAGTTAACATAGTGCTAACTAGCTTCCACCAAAGAGGAGTGTAAGTGCAGTGTAGTTTGCACAGCCAGGAATGCCAGGCTCCCCCCATGACAGGCATCTCTGTTGTAGTTAATTCTTACTCTATGTTACTTACAATTTTCATTATCCCATCCCCAGCTACTCCCCCAGATTGATACCCTTGCTAAACATATGCCAATTTGACCCTAAAGAAAGGGGTAGAAAAGTGCTTAGGAGGGGAGATCCTGCTAGTTTAGGATTGTCTGGGAAGTCTTCCCAAAGGAAGAGTGTGTACTTGGGAATGGTATTTGGTGTTGATTAGTATATCAAGCATATTACCAGTTTATGCCAAAAATAAAAATATTCATCATATTCCAGATATTAATGTGGTTCACCCCCCACATTGGAAATAAGTAATGTTCCAGAAATTACTCTGTAAGTCTGTTTATAACTGGGAACCCATTTTTCATTGTAACAATTTGATTGTCAAGTTCCCAGAAATCAGAGCCTCAAACTGGTCTTAGACATTTTGTGTATACG